CAAAACAGTCTGATAGGAGCATGCGTAAGTGTGCGCGTTAGACATGCAATGCGGCCGTTCGTCAGAGACGGCGCGAGGTCCTGTCTCTGTGTTGCGCTTGGAAGGTTGGTTTTGTATTTGGCAGGTGATTTGCGCATTCCATCTCTGGGCGTACTTTGGGCTACGGGTAAACTTAACAACGACCCCCTGTGAAGCTTTCACTTCTAGCAAGCATAGTGAAAGCACGGAAATGATATTGCGGTTGCAATAACACCACGATCTTCGTGGGCCTTAGCAGCAAAAAACGAATCAAGCGCAGGTTTAGACCATCAGCACAGGTCAAATATCTGTACATGGGTTGAAGTAAGTGCTGTTTTGGTGGGGCAAGGTCAGCGCTGCGTGGAGGAGGGGGGCAAGCGTGCGACAAAATCACTCCCCCAACCAAACACCAATACTTTTCCACCAGTCACGTGGCACGTGACTGGCCTTGGTGGAGGGCGATTTTCTTGCGATTTGCCAACCCTGGTCGTTTCACACTAATAGCCTCACCCACTCGCACGTTTAACGCAAGTCAGGTAAATAGAAAGTGACAATTTTGGAAAGGCGGCTACCGAGAAGGGGAGGCATTCGAATGTTCACACAACCGATTACAGTGTTAGGACCTTATTCCCAAAAAGGAAACCGAATGAACCAACTGATAACGCCCTCAAAAAGCCGATCGCAAAGACTGTGTGAATCATACAACAGGGGCTAGCTAAATGTTGCTGAGATGACGGAATGGCACGTCAGTTGATGGCTGTGACATCCATAGCGCAATACTATTCATTAGCTCAATAGAACATCATCACGCTGGATACTAAGCAGAACTTGAGTGCAATTTTCGATATCCGAAAGACTGTCCTACCGAAGTCTGCACGGTGGTGAAAAGGCGTCAGGCTTTTAACTCGCCTAACGAGGACACTGCTGGGTAGGCCATCATTTTATAACGGCTGCGTAGAGCAACTGGTATAGTTCAATGTCTCACAAATTTGGAAGGAAACTAGTCGATGGAAACAACTTCCACTACATTACCAGTAAAAACAAAAGCAACCTGCCTCCAATGATTGGTCTGTTTGTTGTGGTTGGATTGAACTAACGGATCGAGGTTGATACCACTGGCTCACTGCGGCAGAACTAATACGACATGCGGCTGGAGACGGAGGCACGCGACAATTCGTCTCAGAGGGGGTGGACGAAAACCGGGGGTAAAGTAGGAGCGGGTCAGGGAAATGGGGAAAACGACTTCGGGAGGGGAAGAAATTCAGAACTGTAACAGGGAAAAAAGGGAGGCTTTATCAAATAGTGACCTACCGATGGACTGACTGACATATTTATCAGATTCCCAGAAGTCTTATCTGAGCTTGGAGTAACCAATATTTCAGTAAAGGAAAACGCCGTTAAAGCACAACCAAAAGGAAGCGCCGGTAGAGCGAGTCATCGAACAAATTCTGAACAGATATGGTGATGCATCCACCACTATCGAAGCCAAAGCACCCAGA